GATATATTATAATTGGATGTGTGTGTGTGTGTAAAGAAAGTTATCATATCAAAAAACCTACAAAAGCTCTTTTGAAGTTGTCTAGGATCCTAGCAAGGCGAAAGAATTGAAGAACTATGAGGGAACATAGCAATCTATATACTATGAGCAAATATATATTGAATAATGCCAAAAGTGTAATTCCTTGGACCTCCAAATAGATACAACTGGCTATATATAGTTAAAGGACCAATCTAACTAACCACAACTGCGTTTGATTCATATATTGCTAAAAAAAAGAGGGACTTTCCACTGATTTTAAACAAAATCAACTATTACAAAATTTTATTGTTGTTAAAACCAACAATGTTTTAAAAAGAACGCAGACAACTTAAAGAATATGAGGTTAAAATCTAATCTCTAGGGCCCCCTACCAAACCAGCCCAACAGTTATATAATCTAACAAAAAATGAAGATTAAGATGTGTTCTTGATATATATATATGCAATGGTTTTATACCATACAACACACCACACAAATTGGACATTTTTCATTGTTATTATCAAGAGTTACTGGGTTCCCAATTTGAGGCCAAAGTTATGGACAATTGTGTCCTACGAAACCTTTTTTAATCAAAAAGACTAATTGATGCAATTGCAACCCATCTTTTCAGAAGAAAAAAGTTGGGTGGGTGGGGGGGAGAAAATCAGAGATTCTCATGACTTTCTGGTGGAAAAAAGAAAAGGCAAATAATAGAGCAATCATCAAGGCTCACAAATAACCAACAGAAAATGAACATTAATCAAAGGTTCACTTCAACAGTGTCCGAATAACAGACCAGTAAAACTAACTATTTACTCATTCTCTCATGCCAATACTTGATGGAAAAAAAGAAATTAATCAAAATGAAAAAGATTCGATACCTGCAAAACACCACCATTTCACATTTGACTACTTGGGAAAACAATACTTCCTCTACAGGGTCTCTCTTTTGGCTAGTCTATGTGTAGAAGTTGTTTTCTGGGTGGGGGATATCAACAAACACTTGGTATGCTTCATGGTTCCAGCTTTGTGAGCGAATATAACGTGCTGAGCCTTTTGAATGCCACACACAAACTTGATCTTTTCATCAGGCTTCACTCCATAGAATACCTGCAAAACACCACCATTCCACATTTGGCTACTTGGGAAAACAATACTTCCTCTAGAGGGTCTTTATTCTTCTGGCTAGGCAAATCATAAACCTTTTTCTTCCTTTTCTTTACTGTAACCTACTATCTTTCCCCTCTTCCCTCTCCCTAGTTTGCACATTACCCTTAAAAATCCAATTGCAAACCATAAAATCAGAACAAATGTATAAAAAAATTATATTGATGAACAGACCGTTTGTATTTTATTAATGACGTCTCTTGATTTTGAATCTTTGAAATCATCCTTAGCCTCTATACCACCTCTTTCTTCACTCCCATCTGCACCATAGACACAAAACCATAAAATATTCAACATAAACAAATCTTTCACATCGTACGTTCCAAATAAACAGAAAAAAAAAACAGGAAAAAACAAACAAACAAACCTTTTTGGGTCTTAGGTTTAGAATTTGAAATATCATCTTCATCATTTTTCTTTTTTTCTTCATCTTTTTTCTGATTCACACTAATATTTATCAATTCAGTGCATCCAATTGATGAAAATGTCGCCTAAAGAATGATTAGAAGAAGTTATTTTTCTGGGTGGGGGATATCAACAAACACTTGGTATGCTTCACGGTTCCAGCTTTGGGAGCAACTGGCTATCCATGAAACTTCTCCTTAAAGTCTACAATTAACTGTATGAGCTTTGTAGATATAAATCAAATGACTTGGGCCTAAATAGGTGGTACTTACTATGAAAGTTGAACATCATGGATTGAAAACGGCAGCCAAATAAAGAAGACGATGTTGCTCGATAGTTTTGACTGGCATCGTGGATTAAAGAAGACGGTGGTAAGTCGTGGATTTGTAGCCAGCCAAATTGATTCATGACTAGCATCGTGGATTTGGCATCGTCCCATCGTCCGTTTCTTTTTCCAGTGGTAAGTCGTAACGCTCGACAAAGATAATCTCGGAAGAGTTATCATCCAGATCACGTGCCACGTTGGAAGCCAGGTGTCAACCCCACAGCTAATTAACCCTACTTTATATATATATATATATATATATATATATATATATATATATATATATATATATATATATATATATGATATATGATGATATGATGATTATCTTCTTCCAACTTTTGTACATATTTGAAAAATATTTAAAAGAGGAAACAATTGTGTTAAATATTATATTTTAGTTCGAATAGCACCGGAAACTAAGGTGAGAGAATGGATAAAATTATAACAATCGATATAAAGCATAAAAATAAATTATTTTTTCTAGCATTGTAGTTTTGTCTAAGCCCAACCATAGTTTTAAAAACCGGACTTGACCGGCCGGTTCGGACCGGAAACCGGTGAACCGGTCGCTGGAGCGGTCCGGTTGAAGGGGTTAGACCGTATCCTGCATCGAACCGGTAGGAACCGGTGGTGGAACCGGAAACCGCCCATATTTTCGCCGATCAGTAGGCGTCGTTTAGATTTCTTGGGAACTAAAGCCACTTGCGATGTATATTTTCTATTAGGACTAATGATACTCCGTATGTATGGGCTTTTGCTTTGGGCCTCAATATTACTTGGATTGTCGTTTTATCCTTATATGATCCACTATAACACACACACACAGATATATATATATATATATACATATATATATATATATATATATATATATATAATTTATTTATTTATTTATATATAATTTTTAAAAATGTTTAAACCACTGGTTCGACCAGTGAACCAGTCCCTTAACCGGTTCGGTCACCCGTCCGGTTTTGAAAACTATGAGCCCAACACTTACAAAACATATGGGTAAAAAGGTATATCATATTACAAAGTAATATTGGGGAGCTTCATCTTGAAAAAAAAGTAGGACATGTAGAAAGCTAAACATATCATTGTGTTGGATAAGTTAGTTTATTAATGTTAGTTTTTAACGAAGTAATATGAGGTTTAGAAATACTAAAAAAATTAATAACACGACATTGTTAAAGGTCACCGCCAATACCTGAAATAAATCGTTATTGATAGAGTACATATAATTTATTCATTCATAAAAATAAGGTTACAAAATACATGCCATAACTAATTTATTTTGTGAAATTCATAAAACATAAACTTAGACATAATTGAAACCCATGATATAGCTATTGTTCATTGCGGCGTCGCCGTGGCCGGTAGTTCATGTTATTCGGATAACGAGTTCTTGTAGGTCGATCAGTTTGTGTTCTTGCTCGTGCAGCTGGTCTCACTATCTCGTATCCTGGAGCAGGCCATTCGGCCTCATCAGGAAGCGGCTTTATGATGTTAGGATAAGCGTTGATGTAGGATTGGATTGAAAAAACATTAGGAATCAAATGATCCACGGTGACACTATATTGATGGGGTGCGTATCGAATAACAGCCAATTCTCATCAAATGGGGTGCATGTGCACCCTTTACAAACCATAGGTATTTTATAAATTACTTTTAAAACCACGAGGGGTGTTGGAGCTCCTTATTGACACCATAGGGGGTTGTGGTCATTTTCTCCTTTATTTGTGTGTACCAGAACTTGTTACAGACCAAACGGAAGAACTCAACCCAAAAGACTAGTCTGTAGGTGAGGGAACCCATTTAGCCTATAAACCCCACATCAATTGCCCATACAACCGATGTGGGACAAGTTCCATACCTTGCAATGGTTTCAGTCCATAACATTCGCCCCTCCTAAAGGACCAACATCCTCGTTGGTCACGGCCACGTTGGTCACGGCTGGCTCTCTCCAGGCCACCACTCCGAGGTTGGCTCTGATACCACTATTACAGACCAAACGGAAGAACTCAACCAAAGACTAGTCTAATAGGTGAGAGAACCCATTTAGCCTATAAACCCCACATCAATTGCCCATACAACCTATTTTGGAGAAGTCCCAATGGTTTCAGTCATAACAGAATACGCAGGTGTACTGTATACATTCTCGCTTATAGTTTCAATCGGGCGAAAGGGAAGAAAATGAGTTTAGCATCCAAGACCGTTTGCGTTACAGGAGCTTCAGGCTACATAGCCTCATGGATTGTCAAGTTCTTGCTCCAGCGTGGCTACACTGTCAAAGCCACCGTTCGGTTTCCTGGTTTGTTCTCTCGCTCGAGCCCTAGCCACCTCTATCAGATCTTTACATCACAATATTTACTTTCAATTAATCTGATGAATGAATGAGATTCGATTATGTGGGTTTCCCTTTCATTAGTCCGAAATTTTTCATCCCAGTTTGATTGCTGCCTTGAGTTCTTGAAGTTAATGAATGATATGTTAATAGTGAAATTTGCACTAAATAAGACTAAAACATAAGTCATTTCCCAATATAAGACTTAATAATGATTAGTGAGAAAAATAATGTCCAGGTGTTGCTGGACATTTAGTTGAATAATGACTAATAGATAATGACCAATGGTCCTACATTGGAAAATAAAAACATATAATCCTATATTGAGAAAGTCATTATGTTTTACTCCTATTTAGGTAAATTATCCATGTTAATATTCACCCCTTTTTTGTTATTAACATTTTCTGTTTTAAGATGAATTTGTGAATTTCCTTATATAACTTGTCAGGAAGTTTCGTTTATGCCTAATTTGCGGGTTGAGGATGCATATTGTCCATTACCTAGACCTTTCCAATGCAATTGAGTCTGCTTTGTTGACTAAATGTAACACAAAGGATGAATATTGGGAATTCTTTTTGAAGCATGTTGGACTTTTAAATTCTGATGCAGATGACCCTAAGAGGACAGAACACTTACTTTCCCTCGATGGAGCTAAGGAGAGACTTCACTTATTCAAGGCAGATTTATTGAAAGAAGGCTCATTTGACTCAGTAGTTGATGGGTGTGAAGGTGTATTTCATACAGCCTCTCCTTTCTATCACAATGTCAAGGACCCACAGGTGCACATATGTTTTGAATTTTGTTTTTAGGCCATTCCGCATATCTATGTGTGCGCGCACTTCTATTTTATGTTGAAATAAATCCTAAGAGTATGATATAAACTTTGTTCTCAATCCTTAGTAATATTTCATCAGCAACTTCTGATTGTATCATTTTCACGTGATAATTGAGCATGGAAGGACATCATGCTGAACTAATTGATAGATTCATCAAATGACTAAGTTTATTGTTGATAGAATGTGGAATTCTGTTCAATTGTGTTAATTATGAAGATGTCTAGTACAAATATTATACATATGTGTGTATACACACAGAGAACAGTTAAGCAAATATTATATAAGGACCCCAATAGTATTACTAATTGTACTATGTGCTATAGTCCGTCTTTAAGCTGATCCAAGGTTTAGGTAACAGAAGCTTGGAGCAGAGAAAACTGAAAGGCAAACAATGAGTGTCTTAGTGAAGATATAAGCCAATTGATTTTCAGACGAAACATGATGCATTGTCATAGAACGTCTTCTCGGACAAAATTACAATTGAACCCAACATGATTCATATAGTTGTGTAAAATATGGGTCTTTGCTATGCAGATGGTGGACTTATAGTTAGAAAAAAAGTCATTGACTTTTGATTGGCACTCTGATCTTTGAGGAGATAAGTCCGCCATATAAATTCAAACACTATTTGTGCCATTGCTCGTTTCTCATCCTTGATGGAGGAGCGTGATACTTTAGATGGTTGAATATTAAAGTGTAAGAAAATCATGAATCTAGAGGTAGGGCATCGATTGTTAATGTCATTTGCCCAATTTGAGTTAGGAAAAGCCCAAAGCTACATATCCCTTGCGAAAACGAGAGATTGTGAGTGCAAACATTTGTGAAGAATCATTCGACCTTTTAATAGAATGTTAATAATGTTAATAATGATATGACATACTATATTTGCAAGGAATAATCTCACCTTTCATAGTAGTTGCACAAAATGCACTCATGTTAACTTAGTTTGCTACTAACGACATGATGCATTTTGTGCAACAACTCTAAAAGTGAGATTATTTAGTGTATATTAAAGTTCCGAGTATAATTAACAACTCTACAAAAGTTCGATTATTATGTGAATAATTTTCATTATTCAATTACTATATTCAGATCATTTCAAATGAAACACTAGGGGCCGTTTGGCGAGTTTTGGAGATGTGATAAGATGTGAGTTTTGAAATCTGGTAGAAATTATATGAGTTTTGAAATCTGAAATGTTGTTTGGAGAAAACAAAAATGAAATCAAGTCATAGTCACATCTGTTTGGTGAGCAATTAAGAAATAAAATGCAGGTATGGAATACCAAATACTCCATCCGTCTATAAATTTTCCCATTTGACTTTTCATGGTCTACAATGCAACACTTTAAACTATTAATATCTTTATTTATATATAGATATATACTATAAATTATATAATATTTCAAACTATATTTCAAAATGAATCTATTTATATTAAATTTATATGATAATTCAATATATTCTTTTTTGTAGTTTTTAGTTAAAGTTTAAAATTTTTGACCAAGAAAGTCAAACTAGGAAGAATTGTTTTGGGCAGAGGGAGTAATATTTTAATATAGACATATTTTATTTATTAAAATGCATAATAAAGTTACAATTGTATTTCTTATTAATAAAATTTTAATGTTTTTATTTTATACCCTGTAGTATATTAGAAAATATCAACTAAGAATGAATAAACAAACAACTGCACATATTAGGAAATATTAACAAATAATTTGATAGACTCATTTTACTCACCAAAAAATAAGTAGACTATTTTTGAAGAAAGTTAAAATCTTTTATAATGAAAGCAAATGACAATGTCGAAACAACAGTTCAAAAATACAAATAGTTTTTAAAAATTAACATGAATATGGACGACCCAAAAATCAACAAGAATGAAAAAAATCAATTAGATTGTCCGATTCAACAAATTTAACAAGACAAGTCTTCAAAAA